TTTATTTTCAGCCCTAGGCGAAAATGTTATAAAGAAAAGTTATGTCTCTCCAAAAGGTTAGCCCGAATATAAAGTTTCAGTTGATTATGTTGAAAAAGCGATTCCTGACAATTTTGCAACTTTCGCTCGTACCATAATTCGAACGAAAACATCCATGACTAAAGTCACGTTTCTTTAGTACGCTTCTATGAGAAAAACATTATAATTCCTGAAAACAAGTCGAATCAGGAACTAATAAGGCCATTATAAAAAATAATGTAGAAAAAAAAAACAAATATGGTGCAAACTTTATTTTTTATTCACTTCAAAATAACTTGTTTCAGAAAATTTTCATTCCATTGGACAGTGATACAAGAACTACCGTTCTCGATGGGGGAATAAATAAATAAAGCACATTTTTCAACACATGACACGCACATTTGAATTTATCATGGTGTATAATATACATTTGATGCCTTCAAAAGTACTTCATTTCCTTGAAGAAATAAATATTGAACATTACACTTGTTACTTTCGAAGTCCGCAACACGTACTTTTTCACAAGAGAGTGGACATTTGAACTTGACAATCTTTTGAATACGTCAATTTTAAGCAACCACACCGTCAAGGCATAGCCGTGGTTGCTTTTTACTGACTAGCAGGCCAATTTTTTTGACATTAACATTGAACATTCTTTTATATTCGACCGTTGCTTCTGACTCGTACTTTGTCCCATAACGAACAAGTCTTTCTATTCCCACACTCAAGCTCCTAGCTTGACACAATTCGGTATACTTTGCTTGTTTCAAGGTATCACAGCACAGTTGAATAATTTATTTCTTTGGTAAAACAATAGATGCAAAATAAAAATCTTTTATTGTTTCTTGCACTAACTGTCGCTTCATGTACACCGCAGTATTTTCACAAAAACGGATTTAAGCAGGCGGCACAATCTTCTTTTTCTAGGATTACTTCAACTTCGGTTAATTAATTTTTATATCAAGGCAAAGTTGTATGAAAAAAATCGAATAATTTTTGTAATAACAAACATTTTTATATATTAAGGTACTTATACACTATTTTTTTTATAATTTGTTATAAACACTAGTCATCTTATGATTAGATCAATCTAAAAATATTGTATAAAGTTATCGATGTCATTTATACACATACATATTATAATTATAATAAAAATATTTGGCATATGTTTAACTGTGTAGTGTGGTGGGGATGACACTGAAGTTTGTCTTGTAACTTTAGCTTGAATGACGTAACTTTTATTATTCCTCCTATGCTTATCAACGCTGCAAACATGATGAGCTTTGACTGGACCCCTTCCTTTTGGAATTTTTGTCGGTTGAAATAGTACTCATAACAAATTTTCTCAAACCCAGTTTTTATTATAATTTCCATTTCGGGTGCAAAAAGTATAATAGCTGCCTGCAACTTGCAGCAGAGTCTGAAACATTTATTTTTAAATTATGTGTCAAAGTATAATGTAACTTCACTGAATTCGCATTTTTTACTTATTTATTATTGACATTTTTGTAACAACTTTTAGTTAACTAACTTTTTTTAAATAATTACGTCTTATATAAAATATCGGAGTTATTCACAATAATATTAGATACACTATAGCTATATGCCTAACCTCCAATTATATAGTAACAATCTTATATTAGACTTTTATAAAAATTGGTACTTTGCCAAATTTTTTAAGAATTAGTTGACAAAAAGTATACTGCATGCGTGGATACGAAGCTTTATTTATTTATTTATTTATTTATTTATTTATTTATTTTACAGTTTAGGGAATACTACAGGCTTTAAACCCATAACAGTTTCCACTAATTTGGTAACAAAAGATGGAAAATATCTTAATCTATCCATAATCATAAAAAACAAAAAATATATAGCTGAATAGACAATAGAGAATACAGTACTACTAGATACACACACACACACGCACGCACGCACGCACGCACGCACGCACACACACACACAGTTTAAATAAAATGAATTAAAAGAATGAAATTAAAAAAATAAATAAAGAAAAGGCATACAATTACATTTCTAAACGTTTAACATAATTTTTAAAAGTGTTTAATAATGATGACAATATATCAACACATCCATTATTATTTGATACATAACAATTAAAGGACGACGTTGTTCTACATGTGGAGCTATTCATACCTAAATTAGTTTCACAAAAATTTATATCGAACAAATAACTATTTCTAGTATTTATAGATGGAACGTGAAAGTTTAACAAAGATAGAAGTTCAGGACACTCGATCAAGTTGTTAAGCAATTTAAACAAAAATATGAGATCTGAATGAAATCTTCGGTTCACTAGGGTAGTTAATTTAAATGTTTGTTTTGTCACTGTGATATTAGGAACATTATAACGGGTAGGAAAGTACCGATGGTCTATCTGAAGTTACGTGAGAGTGATAAAGTAAGCCATAGAAATCCATGCGATAGAGAAGGATGGCTATAATGAAGGCGTCTTATAGTCACCGCCCGTTTCGCCCTTCCACAAATAAGATCCACTTCTTATTTGTGGAAGGGCGAAATGGGCTATGACTATTAGACGCCTTCAATATACCCATCCTTGTCGATCACATGGATTTCTATGGCTTACTTTATCGCTCTCACGTAACTTCAGATAGACCATCGGTACTTTCCTACCCGGTAGATGCCATTTATTCTAAAATTTAAGTGATCTGTTTTGCAATCTTTCTAATCTAATTTTATATATATTATAAGTGGGGATCTCGATAACACTCGCAAAATTTACCCTACTGTAAATATAAGCATAACAGAAGGATGTCATTGACTTTTCATGCCTAAAGTCATTACATATTCTTATTATAAAACCTAACAATTTATTGCAGTTGTTGCAAATATGATCTATATGAGTACCACAACTCATCTTACTATCAAAGAACACTCCTAAATCTTTTACAATGGTAACCCTATGCACTATTTGGTTATTTATAAAATAATTAGAATAAAAAACATTATAATTTTTCGTGAAACTAATACAGTAACCAAACAATACTATTCATGTCAGTTTGAATTAGCTTGCAATTATCAATAGATTCGATAATTCGAAATAATTTTAGGTCATCTGCATATAAAAGGAACCTACAATAATGAATAGAATTACCAATATCGTTAATATATATATAAGAAACAGTAACGGACCTAAATGTGAACCTTGTGGCACACCAGAAGTTATAAATATTGGGTCAGATTTGAAACCACTGACTACAATTATTTGAGATCTATATGAGGCAAACCAACACAATAGATCACCATGTATACCGATATTCGCCAATTTAGCTATCAAAATATTGTGATCAATTTTATCAAAAGCTTTACTAAACTCCATATACAAGGCGTCAACCTGAATTCGACGGTCCATAGCACTACGAATGTGTTCATTGTAACATAATAAATTAGTCTCGATAGATATTTTGGAAAAGAAGCCATTTTGTTTAACCATAATAGACGTTTTAAGCGCATTAAAAACACTATTGTATATAATCGATTCAAACAATTTACTAAATACACACAACTTACTTATACCTCTATAATTATTAACGCAATTTTTATCTCCTGAATTTTTATATATAGGAATTAAATAAGCTTGTTTCCATAAAGTTGGAAATACACCTAGGTTAAGAGATTTATTAAGTATTAATGACAGAGGTACATGCAAAGCTGGGGCACAATTTTTTACAAAATAAGCTGGTAAGCCATCAACTCCAGCTCCCTTATTTGAATCTATATGAACCAATTTATCTGATATCAAATACTCTGTTATTTGTACTAAAGAAATACTATTACCTCCATTCATATTTGTGCAATTAAATATTTGGAGTGGTTTTTGTACATATGGTTCATAAACACTTTGAAAGTAAGATGAGAAAAAGTTACATACATCAGGACCATTATGACCATAAACATCATTGAAATGCATATAGTTGGATATGCCAAAATCTTTTATAAAATGTGGGGATAACTATTTTAAAATTCAGTTGCAAGATTTGACCCATACTAACAAGGCAAGTTAAATAAAAGCTTGTAATACTAAATTTAATAATCTAACATTTGAAAATAATTATTATTGTTATACCTACATTTGTATTTATTAACAAATAAATAAAATGTACTTGTTAATATTTAAAATGAAAAAAAAATAAAATATCTTATTCATTCATGTGACTACGTAAAACTAAAAAGGTCTATTTTTGACTTTAACTACAGATTAAAATCGCAGTAAAAACTAGTTTAGCAACTGAATACGGTAGGTCAAGATTCACTCTTGATAAACTTTTGTGGGTCAGCGATCAGAAGCGATCCGAAAAAGGGTTTAAATAATGATTTATATATTTTTTTTATCAGCATACATATGCATTTTAAAATTCTATTCATTTTTCCCCATCTTCCCTTAAAATTAATGACATTATGACTGAATCACTGCGTATATATTTACTTCAACACCATATAACTTCTAAACAGTTAATAATTAATTTGACATTTTTGATGCTCTTTCTCTTCTGATTTTTCTTCGACTTGTTGGGAATTGTCTTGTATATTACTACATATTTATACATAATTCAAGGAGTACAGTTTATAAATTTGTCAACAAGTTGTTTTAAGAGAAAGCTCACCTAATTGTAAATATAAATGAAGTAAAAAATACATTTTTATTGTGATTTTTAAATAATTTGTTTTTTTTTTGTAAATTTAAAATCGTGTTAAAAAAAATCAGAGGAAATTAGAAAAATTCACAGGAAGTCCGAAAAATTCGAGGGGAATTCTGGGAAATTCAAGGGGAAGTCAGAGGAAAACATAAGAATGTCAGGAAAGAGGAATTCAAGAGGAAGTTGGAGGAATTCGAAGAAATTCATGGAGAGAATCAGGGGAATTCCCTTGAATGGAGTAGTTCTGTTACAAAATTATATACGCGGTTTACCCCTTGGATATAACTATACAAAATTACTTACCACAGATGGACAAGCATTCAACCGATAGGACACATTAAATCCTGACATATTATAGGCATCATCACTAAAAAAATGGATCAAAGCAGATCCAGAATGAGTTGTAATCTCTGGTATTCGTCTAATACTATATGCATTTTTATACATCAAGCCACTGAGTACTGCCAATAATGGAGAATCCACACTATCTCCATCAAATACATATAAGTGATCCCAACCACATTCAGTAGCAAATTCTTCAATATGTAAAGTTATTGTAGAATTGGGAGCATCAATTAGCCAACTGCATTTACTAGTTAACGAGTAATTGCCTAATCCATCATGTATAGTTCCTGAAGATGCGGCCAGCCTAAAAATTTCATAAATGTATTAGGGGATGTTACCCATATAAGAGACAAGATTTAAACATCAACTTAAAAAAATTATATAAAAAGTATATGTTCAAAAAATATAAGCTCATCATAATTATCTTACAGCTGTTTTACATTGGGAATTTACTAGTTTTGTATTGTTTTTACTGATTTGTTGCTTACAAAAACTAATATTTATAAACAGTGTCGAAACCGTACTGCTGTTGTACCATTACGTATATGTAGAAAGGTAATGTTAAATATATATATCAAATTTGAAAGTTCCCGCTGTGCTCTGCCAGCGCCACCGGATATATATGTGTGTAAACATTACTTGTATGTATAAAGTAAAATACAAAAATATATATAGGCCAGTCTGTGCTAAAACTCGAAGAGTGTTTTATTTAACTTTACGATAACAGGTTATGGGTCCAGAACCACGTGTTTAACCAGTATTGTTAATTTCGTTGAGCTTTTCGGTTTTTCGATCGCGCAAGTATGGCTAGTAATCTAATCGCGAGTGTACCTAAATTATTAGGACGTGAAAATTATGGCGAATGGGCATTTGCCGCTGAAAATTTTCTCACGTTGGATGGATATGAAAAAACCATCACCGGTGTAGAAACGGACGCCGACAAAATACTCAAAGCCAAGGCAAAATTAATCTTGACGATTAATCCTCCTTTGTATGTACATATAAAAGAAGCGACAACCGCTGAAGAAATTTGGGAAAAATTAAAAACTATGTACGATGATTGTGGATTTACAAGAAAGATATCCCTACTACGGACACTTATCTCCACGAGGTTGGAGAGTAGTGACTCGATGGCGGCGTATGTGAACCAAATCATCGAAACCTCCCAAAAATTAAGTAGAACAGGATTCAAGATAGATGACGAATGGGTCGGATCGCTGCTGTTAGCAGGTTTACCAGAAAAATTCATGCCCATGATCATGGCGGTGGAGCATTCAGGCATGAAAATTAGTGTCGACGCCATTAAAACAAAACTATTGGACATGGAAGGAGATGATGCCGGTAAAACAGGTAGCGCTTTTGCCTGTAAAACTTTCAGTTACAGTTCCAGTGACAAGCACAAGCGTGGTGTTGGAGTTGGCTACCCTGATCAGTCATCCGTCAGTTCGAGTAATGTCAGAAAAGACGTAAAATGTTACCAGTGTAAACAAATGGGTCATTTTAAAAGTCAATGTCCAAATAAATACACTGCACGAAGTTCATTTGAAAAGAAGAATTATGAACCAAGAAGAAAGAATAACGCATTCAGTGCCATATTTCTAACCGGACAATTTAATAGAGATGATTGGTATGTCGATTCAGGTGCAAGTTTTCACCTCACACTGGATGAAAACAGTTTAGAAAATGCAGTAAACCAACCTGATATTCAGGAGATTATGGTCGCAGATGAGACAAAACTGGCAGTTAGCTGTGTTGGAGAAGTTAACCTCACAACTTTGGTGGACAATGAGAAACACAGAGTGATAATAAAAAATGTAAAGTGTGTTCCGGCTTTAACCACCAATCTCTTGTCAGTAAGTCAACTGATAAAGAATGGAAATTCAGTGAATTTCGAGAAGAATTGTTGCAAGATTTTTAATAACAAAGGGACTCTGGTGGCAACAGCTGATTTAGTTAACAATGTATACAGATTAAACGCTGAAAAGCCAAACCACTGTTTGTTAGCTACATCAACCAAAGTGTCAGGTGTCACATGGCACAGAAGATTCGGACATATAAATTCTTCCGATTTAGTTAAAATGAAGAATGGTGCAGTAAATGGTATGGTATGTCATGGTGAGATTGATCGTGGCAACAGAAATTGTGTTGTTTGCTGCGAAGGCAAGCAATCGAGATTGCCGTTCAAACATCAAGGCACTAGGGCAAAATCCTTGCTAGAAGTAATACATACGGACCTCAGCGGACCCATGGAAACGAAGTCTATAGGTGGGTCTAAATATTTTTTAATATTTGAGGATGATTTCAGCCGTATGCTATTTGTTTATTTTCTGAACACAAAGGACCAGGTGCTCGAATGTTTTAAGGAATTCAAGAATCAGGTGGAAAATCAGAAAAACTGTCGAATAAAGATTCTAAGGTCAGATAACGGAGGCGAATACACCAGCAAAGAATTTCAGAGTTATTTACGCACAAATGGTATAATTCATCAAAGAACAAATCCGTATACGCCAGAGCAAAATGGTTTAAGTGAAAGGATGAACCGAACAGTAGTCGAAAAAGCGAGATGCTTGCTGTTTGATGCAGGCCTTGAAAAGAAATTCTGGGCAGAGGCCGTTAACACTGCCGTGTATCTAAAGAATCGAACTGTAAGTTCTGGGTTGAACGACAGAACACCTTTTGAGTTATGGAATGGTCAGAAACCAGAAGTGAGCCATATAAAAATCTTTGGAAGTCAGGTCATGACTCACATCCNACGACAGCCAAAGTGCTCAGAAATTGTCAGTAAATCCTATGTATCACAAGAGAACCAAACACATTGATGTACGACACCACTTTGTTCGTGAAGCGGTCGTGAATGGTTCGATTAAAATTTCATATTTACCTACGTCAGAAATGATTGCTGACGTATTAACAAAAAGCCTATGTTCCAGTAGACATAATAAATTCTTGTCAAATTTAGGTTTAGTAAAAAATTATCAAATTTGATATAGTGGGGGTGTTAAATATATATATCAAATTTGAAAGTTCCCGCTGTGCTCTGCCAGCGCCACCGGATATATATGTGTGTAAACATTACTTGTATGTATAAAGTAAAATACAAAAATATATATAGGCCAGTCTGTGCTAAAACTCGAAGAGTGTTTTATTTAACTTTACGATAACAGGTAACACATTATTTTTAATGAATTTTGAAATTTATTTGCTACTTTGATTTGTTGGTAGATCTGCGTCAAAGAAATTCACGAAGTCTGTAGCAGTGTAAAACCAAACCCTTTATGAACAAATTCGTGAATTAGTCCATGAATTAATTATCAATGTAAAACAGCTATTATAAGAAACTATGAAAAATATGGAACAAGAATGTTCTCAGTTTTCAACAATTGTAGAAAATGTTTTTTTGAAAGTGTCTTTTACTTGGTGCCATATCCAAAGGAATAGTAATTTAATTCATATAAAATTAAATAAATATTTTATAATAATATATTATTTAAAGGCATCTCATTGGGTTGTCAATCAGCAAAAGCAGAATAAAGCTGGGGGGGGGGGTCAATTTTTGTAATTTATTATTTAATTGTAAAACCTACCTAACAAGAAACACCTCTTATATGGAAAAAATTATAAACATCGCTATTATTAACTTCATTTATTTAAAAATGCAAAAGTTTTCTTTACATATACAGGGTGTCCGGTAACTACAGGAGTTATTGTCACTCAAAGTAAGAAATTGAAAAATAAATATTGCCCATAATTTCTAAAGGGTTACTTTGATGAACTTGAAATTTGGGGGATCAAAACAACTCATTCAAATGTACCTTTGTACATTTAAAATTGAATCAAATATTTTTTATTATACAAGGACGGTCGAAATTATGTTCTAAAATTTACGATCGTATTGTAAAAAATTCAAATATCGGGCACAGTTTAATCTATCCGGTAAGAAAAAGGCGCCTATTAATTGGTTACCGATTATTCCTGCCCATACATTAACCATGAATCTTTGTTGGTGTTTGCCTTGAATGACTAAATGAGGGTTTTCATTCAACAAAATAATCTTAAAAGAATAAGGAAGTGCATTGAACCAGATGGAGGACATATCGAGCATTTACTGAAGTAACCTCTTTTAATCCATGTTTCATTCTTAACTTTTTTCTGTTGCGTTGTGTCCCCGGTTGTGGTTATACACAAAATACAAAAATTTAATTATCTATGGCATAATGACCATTATCCAAAATCAGTCGGTAATCGAGCGGTTTGAGGCATCAATACTTGAAGACTGTCTGACTGAAGAACTGTCGATCCCCACGGCCCGTAAGACTGTAGATCAGCTATATTAGTATAAACAAATTACGCATCCTCTCTATAGATATGATAGGGTAAAAGTCTTAACCGTCCGCTTAATTAAAGAGGTTTTCCAGGTTTCCCTCATTCTTGCACTGAATAGTGATTAGGGCGTACCAACGTAAGTCGTTCATGGGCACAATTCAAATTCAATAAAAAATTTTTTACGGAAGTACGATAGATCTTTTGCGGGGCAGGTAGTGCATATGCTTATACACAAGAATCTCGTTGCAGTACCAACCTTACATAAATTTGAGCGAACTAAGTATGCTATTTATGAATGAAATTTATACCACATAAATATTAGCTCGCATATGTTTTTCAGTTTAATGTACGCAATAGGCCCATTCAGTGATATATAATTTTAAACTTTTTCTTTCATTTTCTGAAAGTATTTAACCACCTAAATATATCTTAAAAAAAATTAGGTCAATAGGATTAATAATAAGTGATATAATTAATTCTGAATTTGTAAGACCCTTAAAAAGGTCAACACTGCGAGAGAACAGGTATTGACGTCACGATACCGGCCACTCGGCGATCAAGTCGCGAGCAGTCGGAGAGATGTGTAGATATTTGCTATACTTTTACCTATATTATATACCTATATTTTTAAGTGGATAAATAGAGAGTGTATAAGAGATATATATATCAAGTCTTGTTGAAATGCATTTTTCACACAACATATTTATTATAAACATAGAATGACTTGGAATACCTAAATACATTTTCGGATTTTTCTCAATGACGTAAATGGTTCGCTTTTCTAGATTTTCGTTTACTTTCCATTTTTGTACAAATGTACCCAACGTACTAGATTCGGTACTTGTGGATGTATGTAAAATATGTTGTAAAACATTATTATTTAAATAAATTGCCTATAGGTTCCTCTCGCCTCGTATTTCGAAATTTTTGTGGACGGGAACGTTTAGATGAGGTAGAATTTTTTTTTGTAGGCATAATTTT